GAAGAAGAAGAAGAAGAAGAAGAAGAAGAAGAAGAAGAAGACAATTGGAATAATATCTTTAACTTAATCTTTACCTATTGGTTCAAACTTGTATCACAAATAAATTAATTGGTATAACAACACTGTAGTTTATTTATCCTAGTAAAAATTTAGTTGACGCGCCAATAGCTACGCAGTTCTTGGCCAAACCTTAAGTAAATGAACATGGGAAGTCGCTAAAGTCATCAAGTGCAATTTAGTAACTATATTCCGTACTTTTTAAAATCTAGTTACTTTTTTCTTAGCTCGTCTCAATAGATTGCATGTTGGCAACACCGTTTTCCATTAGATTAATTATTTTTCAATATCTATTTACCTTTTTTCGGGCCTAAAGTTAAGAGACATTTGTCAACTGTCATATCTCTTGCTGAATGGCGGTCACCTGTCACCTGTCATTTAGCAGCTGTTGTATCTGCCGCTAGATGGATACTGTCTTTTATCTTTAGTCGCTGATGGATGCCGTCATTTATTAATATTCTAACTAATCTGTCATTAAGCAACTCAAGATATACCATAAATAATTTTAAGTTCTAAGCAATCTGTTATTACATAACTCACCATACACCATAATTATAAATATTTTTATTTATTAAATTTAAAAAAATTGGGATTAAGGATAGAACTGACGATTTTACACCTATTTAGAAAAACGGGTCACTTTTCGCCAGGTTTTAATTTTTGATGCATGTTAACCCTTCCACCGAAACTAAAAAATGCTTTCAATATCACCTTAGATTTATAAAAAAAGGGGTTAAAGTTATATCCGGCATTTCGTTCAAAACACAAATTTTCAGTCACGTGGCCGAAATCCCTATACCGCAACTAGCAAAATAGGACGACTTTAAATGCTTGCAAGGCAATTTTTTTATTGTTATAGACGTTTAGAAGCATATTATTTCATTTCCAGCAAAGAACGAAAAAATCCATAGATAGGCAAATTTACTTTGAATTTTACAGGTTACACAACATCTACCACCACATAATACACGTTGTTTACACCGCCCCTGTACCTAAATACACTAAGCAAAAAATACACCATATCACTTTTTGCAGTCAGATGAGGGACTAATTTACTTTGCATTATTTGGAAACATTTGTAATAATGATCTCTTTTTGTTTTAGTTTATTGACTGTTGGTTTGGAATCGTTTTCGCAGCGTCATGGTCTGCCTTTAGAACACGATGTCCTTAATCAGAACATGACCTTAGATCACGTTATAATAAACTTTAATACCGGAAGTACTAAAAGTGTCAATAAGAGGCCCAGCAGGTCAAGCAGAATACCGTCTGTGGATATGCTCAGTAAAAATATTACTATGGTATTGGAAAATCTTTTGGAAAATTATGAAAGCTCGCAGTTACCGACGTATGGAAAAAGTAAGTAAAATATTTGGTAAATATATAGGGGCTTAACAGAAATATACCACATATTCCTCAGACAAAAATGATCCGGTTTAAGTAAACTTACCTTAATACAAAGTTGCTCAGTTTAGTCGCTAGACGGTCCTAAAATTACAATTTTAAATTTCTTTCTTGTATGAGGTGGGTTGGCTGAATGATTAGAGTCATGACTTTGAGATCGAAAAGTCTCAGAATCGAATCCCACTGATGGCAGGAATTTTTATTTAATAAAAAAAAAATTAATTCTAATGCATAGGTAAGATTCCCCACTTGATTATTTACTGTTGCGTTCTAATTAACAGTGCTGTTCTTAAAGTGGTATTGGGAAACAGTAAGAAAGTCTACATAGAACACATATGAACAATGGGGAAAAACAAAAACGGAGACTGACATATTAGGTATATACACCTCATAAAAATAAAAAAGTTCCTCTATTATATATTTAAAACGGCTCATGTAATCTGACTTAAATTTGGTACATTGGTATGTTTCAAAAAAGTATTAAAATTATGACTAATCTTAATCCATCGGCGTAGAACTTGATTTTTCCATAATTGCATATTTGAAATTTCTACGCCAATGGAAGAAATGGGATTTCAGTATTAAACATAACTCATTTACTACAAAAAAAGGTAATCCTTAATAGCCTCGATCATTCTCATGGTTTTAGGAAATTGTATTTTAATACATAATTTGGAGTGTAGGTTTCACAAAAAACTGTTTAAAGTGTTCACCATTTTTATACATAAAAATATTTAGACAATGAAGAGAATAAAAATGTATTCTTTGCATTATCTTCTTCAACACTTCTAAGATTATTTATTGCTATAGTTTTTCATTACCTACACGTGTCTTGTTAACCGTGGACTTGAAATGTCTTCATAATAATGCATCGGAGTTAAGTCCTCCAGACCAATTTACGAGTGCTTCATTACCTAACCATTTGTTTGAGCACTATTGATTCAAGGGGCTCTGAATATTTCATGAAAAATGTGGTAGAGCTCCATCGTGCATAAACCACTTCCGTGTTGTAGAGGTAAATCGTCTAACAATTCTACTCTAGTTTGTAGATTTTACAAATAATTATCTTCCGTTAATGTTTGTGGAAAAATGACAGACTAACAATAAAATTAGCAATTATTCCAGCCTCATTGATTTTGAATTCTTATTGAAAATGGGTTGTCTTTATTGCATGCAGATTTTCAGCCATATAAACATGGTAATTATGGTTAGTAGTTATCCCCGTTATTGTGAAACACGATTCATCTGCAAGCAAAATATTTTGCCCAACTTTATATCTCTTTAAACCGACAAAAATCCAGATGAATTTCAGGATCAGAATAGATCTTGTAGTGGCATCTTATGGCATGGATATGGCAATCATCTTTACATACTACTATTTTTCTACCTATTGGTCTGGGGCTTAATTGTAGATGTTCTTCAAAACGTTTTTAAATGTCTTCTTCAACTTCAGGAATCTTTACAAAACGCTATCATCCATAATCAGCAGATTGAGGAGCAAAATGACCGGTCTCCCAAAGACGTCTGTCAACAGCAGCAAACGTTGGGTGGCTCGGTATACGACGATTTTGAAATTGAAGTTTTTAAAAAAAATATGCTGAACAAAATTTTCAAGGCTGTTGAGTAGAAAAATTTATAAAAAATAATAAAATAGCATAAAATTTAATTCTAATCAATTTTTCTTTATAACGATATTATACTGGTATAGTATTAAAAATGCAATTTACTTTTGAAAAAAATTGATTTTTTTTTAAAACCTCGTATACCACTGACAAAATTTAATATTTGGTATTTTATGTTTAAAACCATGCTGAACTTTTTATGAAGAATAACTTTAAATTAGTAATAAAAAAGATTTTCATATGATTCCAAGTTAAGTAAACACACTGTGTCAGAATAGCAAATGTAAATGGATTACCAAGGCAATAATTAAAATGGGTAATAAAGTAAAAAACCTGCATTGGTTAAAACAGAATTCGAATACAAAACTCAATTTAAAAACTACAAACATTAAAATGTGATAAAAGTATCTCATTATCAAAATTCAATTGAAAATAAGAAGAATCCTATTAAAATGTAAAAATATATAGCCAAAGAAATAAGCGGAAAAATAAAAACAAATCACAAAACTAAACTAAAAATCAATAATACAGGTAATTGGAAATTTAAAAAAATGCTAATTCTGTTGGGGTAGATTGTATACTCACTAAAATTATCAAGGGTAATATAACTAGACTTTGATAAATAGTGGACTATTTTTATTGTATCTAAATTTTAAGTGTTTTTGATATCAATTTGTCGATACATATTTTTGTCTACAAATGACTCGTTTTGTTTTCGCAAGGTCACCCTGTAATTATGCAAAGATATGATTATTAATATTGGTATTTTGAACTTTAATATTAAATTAAAGTAATTTCTTTAAATTAACTTTTTTTTATGATACAAAACTCGATTAGAGTAATTTCAACAGTCCCAAAAACATTTGTAGCGGTTATCCTGATCCCAAAAACGTTGTAAAAATGGTAATTTTGATCACATTTATGTGCTTTGCTTCTATTGCCGAAGACATGTTTTATAAATAATGTGGATGTGTAAAATAAAATTATATATAGATAATTCTCACCCATTTACACTGTTATTACAAAAATAAACAATGTTGTTGAATTTTGCTTATTAAATATAGAGTATATATATTATATGTATATTTAAAAGAAAGTAAATAATTATCTGGAAAATACCACTGATCTGTATTACTTATTGGATAGGATATAGACGACTAAAAAGTGTTACGAAAAATTTGTAGTTTTGTTCCAGATTAAGCTAATACAGGGTATTTCACATAAAAATAATAACTCCCGTAAAATATTTGTAATTTTCATAATTGTTTTATATACTGCAACTAAAAATACAATTATTTGTCTCTTAATTTTTTTCATATCTCGCTTAGTTTTTGAGAAAAAAAAAATTAAAAAACACAATTTTGCACGTCTTTGCATCAATTAAAAATACAACTTGAAACAAGAAGGAAGCGAAACAAAAAAATAGTAAAAAACAGTTTTTTTTATATTTTGCTTAATATCTACAAAGGGGTGGGTGGCTCAGTGGTAGAGCCTCTGCCTGTGGATCCAAGGGTCCCAGGTTCGAATCCCATCGTTGACTGAAAAATTTTACTGTAATAAAACTCCAAATTGCAAACACCCCATACATTTTGTTGAATATTTTAATGATTCTGATAGAAAGTTACAACATTTTGTAAGATACTACAAAAAATTTGTTAATTATTTTGTAATCAAGAGTAATTAATTAATTTTTAAGAGTTTAAATATTCTCCACATTAACGTAAGTAAAATAGAGAGTTATATGAGATGTCACTGAAATGGTGTAATATAATTGGATTGAATTATTGGTTGAAAAAACTAAATAGTGTAACGATAGTCTAATTTATCTAGAGTTTATTTATTTAAAACACACTATTTACAATTTATTTGTTACGTACTAATTAATTTATATAATATAAGACACTAACTCACAATTCTAATTTATTTATTACAATTTAACTTTTCAGTCCAATACTTTATACTAAACTAAACTGTCCGCCGATAAGTCAGACTATTTATACCAAGTTCAACTCTGCTACGAGACATTTCTAGAAGCTCCTGGAAATTCCATCTCTAATACAATGGCACGCATCGCCCGTTCTGGTATATTCGAGACGCGGTCCGACTGTCTCCACAGGTCAGCGGTGCTTCGATCATGAATCGAGTGGCAGGCTTAAAGTCGCTTGCTTAGACAGAGACGGCTTAGGAATTTCAATGACGTTGCCCCCTCCTTAAGAAATAGTTTTGCCTGGAACTAAAACTGAATGGTTGTATTTGCAACTGGATTCTCTTTTACAATTTCCAGTTGCATGGAAGTAACAAGAGACATTCTTCGTTATAACCTAAACGCTGGGAGAATGGCTGCAGACCAGTATTTCAACCTGGGTATCTTGAAAGATTACTTCCACCATGTTTCTAATAATCCTCCAATTCAGCTGGTTGCTCTCTATCTTTGGCATAGCTAGTTTCTGTACATTGGATTTTAGTACATGCTCTCTCAGACTGAGTAATGCTTCCCATACATTATGATAGGTGGATTGATCTCGGAAGGTGTTCTTTGTTACCAAATAGAAAAGATAACGCGATCCATCTTGAAGTTTTAATGCTCTTCCAGGGGCTGGTAACTGATCTTGAAGTTCTGGCAATCGACCAAACTTCCTCCGGAATACAGATGCCAAACTTCGAGCATCGTAGATGTTGGCCGAAGTGCTATGGACCAGCGACTAGTCTTTTGGAACCGTGAGCAGGTCTTGTTGTTGCTCGATTGTAACACCATGTCTTGCTTTTCCGGTACCTCCATATGCATCCATAAATTCTTCAAAGACAAGGTGAGGTATTTCTTGGAGCTGGTTTATTTCTTCTTCCTCTTCATGGTCACCTTCAAATGGCGCCAGCCGGTTTTGATCCACTGCCTTTGGTTTACCGTTCGGGATCTTACTTATACGGTAAATGACATTATTGATTTTTTTTCTTGATGAGATACGGACCTTCCCAAGACCTTTGAAGCTTCGGAGAATAACCCTTTTGTATTTTTGGGTTATGGAGCCAGGCTTTGTACCCTTCCTTGAAACATCCTTCTGTGGCTTGGGTATAGTATCACTTCTTCATTATGTCGCTGGCGATTTCAAGATGCGAGCGGACCAATTCATGCATATTGTCTATTCTTCTTTGTAACTCGATCACATAATCTCCCCCAGCTACATCTTGTCCAGGTCGGCATCCAAACTCGAGGTAGTCTCATCTCACGGTAGTCTCATCTCACGTCCAAACAGGACCTTTGCTGGTATTTGGTCTGTTGATTCATTGACAGCGAATCTATAAGCCATTGCAAAGAGCGAAAGATACTGATCTCAA